CCCGCTGTCCCGCAAGCTCAACAAGATCCTGGAGACGCGGCTGGACAACGACAAGGTGCGGGGCGGGGCGGGGGGAAGGAAGGTGTGAGGGGGGCGCCGATGTCTTGCTCCCGAGGCCAAGCGGCGTCGAATGCGCTGACGTCACCGGGCTCCCCTCCTGGGTAGCTCTCGGGGTGCCCTGGCGGAGGAGCCCCGTGCTGGCCCCAGCGCACCCTGGTGTAGACCAGTAGGGCCCGCCGCCTCTCCCTGAACTGGGGGTTTGGAAGGGATTCGGAGGATGATAGTGAGCTGTGAAGGGTGGGGGAAGGTGCACTGGTGCACTTGCTTTCCCCTCCCCCCCTTTGATTCCTGCAGCACCCAACCCTGAGTACCAACTGCCTGGCAGGGGCAGCAGCATTTCTGTGAGGGAGTCACTTCACAGCTGATCATCATGTCCCTGATCCCTTCTACACTCTTCCTTCCACAGGTGTGATGGTCCTCCCCCTTTTTTTTTTAATGGTCTTGATATTCCACAGATGAAGCAAACCCTTGCCCTGCCTGGTAGCTGCCCCTGCTAATGCAGCTCCTATTTCACAGCCTGGCAGATTGATTTTTAACTCATTCCACTGAAGATACGTTTGGGGTTTTTTTGCTTCAATCTTAAACTGAATAACGCAGCCATAGGGCCTTAGTCTGTTAGTATAGTTTCTTGTTTATTTTTAATGGGAGAAAAATTGTATTGTTTTGACATGTAATGATGCATCTTGCCATCTGCACCCCTCTTCAAAATTCAAGACCTGCCCATGATGGTAGGGGTGTAACTTGGGCATTTTTTTTCTTCTTATAAATGAACATGAAATGATCAGTGCCCTTGTTTGCTAGCCTGAGGGAGGTCACGTTATAAAGTGCCTCAAAGCTAAGCACAGTTTTCCTCGTTCGAATTTTTAGAAACTGGCAGGCTGCTCAATAAGTTATGAGGAAAATGGTTGCAAGCTGTTTCCATCACAGTGTATAAAGAGCAGAAAGAATGGTAAACCATGACAATAAAGGGATTGTCCATGTTGTATAGAGCATGTTTTATTTTATTGGGGGGGTGGGTTAGACTAACTTTGTGAGGAAGACTTTGTGTTAGTATGTTGTATATTGGAGTGGAAATGTTTAGGTAACCTTTTTATATTTGCACAGGAAATGTTGGAAGCTCTCAAGGCGCTCTCAACCTTTTTTGTTGAAAATAGTTTGCGTACCAGAAGAAACTTACGTGGAGACATCGAGCGCCGAAGCTTAGCGATAAATGAAGAATTTGTCCGCATTTTCAAGCAAGTTAAAGAGGTAATGGTTTTGCTACAAAGATGTTTAAAATGGCTGGAACTGAATTTGGCATCACAAACTTTTTTTTTACCCTTTTTACCCATTACAATTTTTTTTTTCCTTTTTCCAGAGCAAACTTACCTTTATGCTATAATTGCTTTTATCCAGGCCCTGCTGGGCCAGAACTTTTTTGTCATTTGATAATATTTCTGCTCCACAATTTTTTCATTACTATGATTTATAAACAAAAATACGTTGTGACTAGGGCTTTCCTGGGAATTACTGGACTCCAGCAAGTCTGTGAAAATATTTGGGTTGAAAAAACCATTGCATATAAAGCAGGACAGATACAGATATGTTCACACTACACTAGCGACTTACACTAGCTTGTACACTGGTACAGGTTTCACTGGTGTCTGGGTTGGACAAATGACTAGCTCCCAAGAAGTAGCTGCTTGCAGTAGGTGCTATTATTGACTTTCTATTGGCTAGGGATAGAGGCAGTAAGAGCCTGTTTGCATTGAGGACAGGGCTACCCAGGGATAGAAGTGACTAGAGTTGTGGGTGCACAGACTATACACTAGTCCAAGAGTGGGCTGGATCTGGCCCACCATGGGATTGTATCTGGCCTGCAGGTGCTTTTCTGAAGGAGAATTGTATCTAGCCAATGGCTGCCCTGGCTTTCTGAGCCTTTTGCCCTTCTTCCTTCCCTGTGCTGTACCAGGATGCAGCAGTAGCTCCCCTTCCTGGCCCAGCCCACCCTGCACTACTTCAGCCCTGGTGTACACTCCAAGGCTGGGGGCACTGAGCTCCTGGCCAGGCTTCTTTGCAGCAAGTCTGTCTGTGCAGAGTTCTGACCTTGTGGCTGTTTGCGGACCA